AGCACAGACGCTCCGTACCGATCCACGAGACTCTAATAAACCGGACTTGTGATTCATGACTCCTATGAACCTAAAGACTCTGATACCAACTTGTCACGCCCCGACGTTCGCCCTCCGTGAACTGTCATCACGACACCTAGTCTCTACGACTAGGTAAGACCTAACAATTTAGCGGAAAAAGGAAAACGAAAGATAAAACTAACCAAAAACTAGTGGAATAACATAAATAAACGTTTAGGATGCAGCTTGGCATATACAATCTAAACTCTCAAATTCAATCAACTCCCAAAACCCGGAATCTCATGAAATCACAAGCTGAGAATGTTTACATAAAGTTCTATCTCCAGAATATCTAGTCAACGGAGAGTAGAGAAGTCCTAAAGCTAACAGAAAGAGAGAGAGAGAGAGAGAGAGGGACTCCTCGGTCCGCGGACACGGTAGATATACCTCACAGTCTCCTAAAGTCGCCTCGTCTCGCTAACGATATGGCTGAGCAGATGAACCTGGATCTGCACACGAAAAACCTGTGCAGGAAAGGGCATGAGTACACCACGGCGGTACCCAGTAAGTGCCAAGCCTAACCTCGGTCGAGTAGTGACGAGGAAGGTCAGGACCCTACCGGTCATAAACATAAATATTTATTAGGAAATGAAANATATATATATATATATATATATATATATATATATATATATATATATATATATATATATATATATATATATATATGGAAATGAAACAGTATAAAGCATAGGGTATTAAGAATAACAACAACTATAACAGAGATAAAATCACAGAAAGAAGATAGCTCCACATAGAGATAGCAACCGGGGATCTCCCAGGATATCGTCTAGTAGTCCCAAAAGTAAATATCCAATGGGTCTCCCGGGATATCGTCCCATAGTCCAGTTCATAATGCGCAAGGGATCTCCCAGAATACCAATCCCTAGTCCCAAATATAAATCACAATACAGGGGGAAGTCTTCCGGGTACAGTCCCGTAGTCCCAATATAAATGTGCAGGGGGGATCTCCCGGAATATCAATCCATAGTCCCAAATAAACAAGCAAGGGGATCTCCATCGCCCTTAGTCCGAAAGTGAACACACAACAGCATCACGAAGAATATTCAATCCTATCCAGTTTCATACCAAGGAAAAAACAGATATTTCTATCCTAGCATCCTGCACAAAATTCGAATAAAATAGTTTGAGCAAGTAAAGCAATTAAATCATTTAAACATGTTTCCCTAAGCTAACAGTAGGCTTAAATTGCAAGTAGTGTTCAACAAGGAAGAAAACACAACTTCTAGTTACTTAATGAAAACATGATTTTCAACAATTAGCACATGTACGCACTCGTCACCTCACGTACAAGGCATTTCATATATCAACAATACCAAATCCTAAGGGGAGTTCCCCCACACAAGGTTAGGCAAGCCACTTACCTCGAACCAGCTCAATCAACTCGATATCACGTTCTTGCCACGAGTACTCGACTCCAAATGGCCCAAATCTATTCAAAGTAATTGCATAATATAAATATAACTTCAAGTAACTAATTCATCTAATTAATTCGAAGCTAACACGCAAAATTAGGAAAATCGCCCAAAAGTTCCCCCTGGCCCACGTCTCAGAATCGGATAAAATTCGCAAAACTAGAATCCTCGCACTCTCATGAGTTCATACATACCAAATACACGAAAATCGGACCACAAAAAACCCCTCAAATTCCCAATTCCAAGACTCCAATTTCAAACCCTAAACCCCCAATTCTAACCCTTATTTTCCATAAATTCCTTGCCAAATCAGTAGGATAATACCATATAAATGAGTTTGGGTTCCAAAAAGCTTACCTCCTTGAAGCTTCCTTGAATTTTCTCTCAAAAATCTCCCAAAAAGCTCAAATTCCGGATGAAAATGGTGAAATAATGGGCAAAAATTGCGACTGAAACGTTATATAGGTTCTGGCCCCAGGGTTTCTGCACCTACGGCCATTTCCTCGCACCTGCGGACCCACACCTGCGGTCCCTGGTGCGCATCTGCGAGAATTCACTTAAAACTCCAAGCCGCACCTGCGCTTCTTCTACCGCACCTGCGGTCTCGCAGGTGCGCTCCATCTCTCGCACCTGCGACTTCAGAACTCCAAACGCCCAGCCGCACTGCGGCATCTCCGTTGCTTCTGGGGGCCCGCACCTGCGGTCCCATGCACCCAGGTGCTGTTATGACAGATCTTCAGCAGCTGAAGCTGCTTCCAAATCTCCCAATTTCTTCCGTCAACCTTCCGAAATCATCCCGAGGCCCCCGGGACCTCAACAAAAAATACGAACAAGTCATATACCACTATTCAAACTTGTACCAACCCCCGGAACACTCAAAACAATGCCAGAATACGAAATCACCCTCGGATTCAAGCCTAAGGATTCCAAAACTTCCAATTTCCGCTTTTGATCAAAAAGTCTATCAAACCTCGTCTGAATTACCTGAAATTTTGCACACACGTCCCAAATAACACGACAGACCTACTCCAACTTCTGGAATCTCATTCCGACTCCGATATCAGAATCTCACTATCGAACCGGAAACTTCAAAAATTCGACTTTCGGCATTTCAAGCCTAATTAAGCTACGGACCTCCAAAACATAATTGGAACACACCCCTAAGCCCGAAATCACCCAACGGAGTCGATGAAATTCCATTCCGAGGCCGTCTTTACACTGCTCCGACTCTGGTCCAAATTCTAAAGTTTAAGCTCTCATTTAGGGACTAAGTGTCCCAAAACACTCCGAAACTCAAAACGAATCCTCCCGACAACTCGCATTAGCAGAAACAAACACGAGGAATGCAGTTAATAGGGGAACGGGGCGTAAATTCTTGAAAACCGACCGGGTCGTTACATTGTGGATCCCCAAATCTTCACTGAAAAATTCGTAATTAGTAACAAAATTAATACTTTCAACAGAAGCGTTAATTCGGACTATGCCTTCAGTAAGGAGATCATGAATTATAACTTGCAGCTCTTGAGCTTGGGTAATGACAGGCTTGCTGTCTACCATCTTATAGTCCAAAAACTTGGCTGCAACAAACTTCTTTAAACCGGCATCCTCAGTTTTATACTTCTTTTCCAACGCATCCCATAGTTCTTTTGAAGTTTTCACATTACTGTAGACGTTATAAAGATCATCCTCCAGTCCGCTAAGAATGTAATTCATGCATAACAAATCTGAGTGTTTCCATGCCTCAGTCACAATAAAGCATTCATTTTCAGGAGTTGATTCCGGCAGAACCGAAACGTCCTCCTTGATGAACTTCTATAGACTCAAATTAATATTTCGTTAATCTTAATATTGACAGATAAATTTGGAGTGAGCGAGCGACGACGACGGCGCGGGGCTTGCCTTCTTCTCAACTCTTTAAGAGCTAGAAGAAGTGCAACTGTATATATACCCATCGAAACTCTTTTGCTCGTCCAATATAGGACAATGTCCCTTTTTCAAGGAGGGAAATTCAAAATTTTCATTTTTTCCTCCATTTCCTATTCACTCTATTTTAAGCTTAAACAAGCTTAAACCCAACACTAACACCACTTCCTAATTATACAACTTGCAATTCATAACTTCAAAACATTGTTTAAGCCTTGTTTGGACTAGGAGGTATGACTATTGAGTATTATTACAAAAACTAAAGAAGCTGATCTTTGCAGTGACGTCATTTGGGTAGATACAAAAACGAATAACCTAGTAATCAATTAGATTAATTCACAGTTCATTGTCAAGTTAAACATATACTAATATTATTTCGCCTCAGCAGCCAACTTACGTCTTTGCTTTCGTTTTTGTAGTCACCATGATTGAAATATCTTTAGAACTTCAAAGTTGGGTGGTTCATAGAACAAATTATAGTCCAAGTTAAACACTAATTCTTTCCTTAAAACGATTGTTTTATTTCTCTTATTTAAAGCGAAAGTAACATGGTTATTATAAAGTTTTTTAATGAACATTCTTCTCATTAGTTTTTGAGTGACAAATAACTGCAAGTCTTAGCTAGCGTTTGGACATAAATTTGGTTGAAACTTAAAAAAAGAGTCTTTGAAAAATAATTTTTTGGAAGTTGAAGTTTGTGAGTGGAAAAAAAAAATTCATCCAAAATTTGTACACTATTTCTGGTGGTCCTGAATAAACATGAAGGATTTCAATCGCGAATCCTCGTAAAAATATGGATCTGAAAACTTTGTGTGATGATTCAAATGTCTCCTCATCAGGGTTGTAGAGTCGAACACTCTCTGGCAATGACGTTTGAAGGAATGTATTATAGCCACCTCCAAGTTTAGCATTTTCTTCTGGTGTCAACCCTTTCCTGCCTAAAAATAGTATTATTGTAAATTCTCTCAAATGACCTTGAGAGGCAGCAATAAAAGAACTAGTAGAATAAATTATAACAATAACAGCAATTATGCTTCAATCCTAAACAAGTCCTATCTTATAAAATTTTAGTTTCTCTCACACTGGAAGTTTATAATACCAAGCAATAAAGGTGAAAATAGCACCGTCTAGCCAGTTTCCGGACTGGTAATAAAAATAACTAGTGTTTGCAAAGTCATTGAAAAATAGCCACTATTGCTACAACACGGAAGTTCCACCATAATATACTGGAGATTGGAGCACCTGTGTATGAACTTCCAGCATATTATGCTGGACCAGTATATTATACTGGAACTTCAGTATATTATGCTGGAATAGTTTCCGGATTTTGAACAGTATTTTCATTCAGATTTATCTTTACATGAAAAGTGGATAAATTTCGATTACTTTTAAAACTGTGGCTATTTTCAAATTACAACTTGTAAATCTAGCTATTTTTGAATTTCACCCGAAATAAAGTCTTCCAATTAGGTTACTCTTTTTGCCCTGCATAATGATATTATGGAGAAATTTTGACAGAAAGTGCCATTGACACTCTTTGTGAATATTTTTGGATCAACAGTTTTGAAGTCATTAGGATCTGTCTTGTGGACCATTTCCATTTCCCAAGTCTTCAATATCCTCTGCACTTTCTCTTCAAGTGATCCTTCAGGCCATACCTAAAAATAAAGAGGGCAAATCCGATATTTATAATATTAGTATAAGATTAAACTTCTAAATTAAATCCAGTTAATGATGTTATTTTCTTCAAACGTGTTAATGCACTTCTACCTAAAGAAAACCAAAATAAATAAATAAAGCATAGAACATGAAAACATACATGAGTTCTTTCTTCTTCAAAAAGCTTATCAACAACATCATAGGTAGGAGGGCCATTTCTCCATTTTGTGTTTTTGACCTCTTCTTCACTCAAGTAATCTCTGTATTTGTTTCCTCCTCCTACTATACTTTCCATTTTGATTTGATCCTAACTAAAGAAAGTCTTCTGGGAGGCCGATTTTATATGATCAAAAAGCAAACCAAATACAAGTCTTGTTCAGTGGAGGATATTGTATGGGTTTGATAAGTATCTCCAAATGAAATTTCTCCACTAGTACTATATTGACTTTTCAATATTTTATTTGGTCTTAAAGTGAAACTCCACTATTATGAATGTCACACATCCTTTCTTGGGGATTGAAATTTTTTTAATTAAAATGACATTATTTGAAAAGAAATTATTTTATTATTTTGTAGGAGTCGCCATTTAGAATTGAATATTTTTGGTGTTTGAGGTTGCTTTTTATTTAATTTCTAATCAAGAAAAGTTTTGACTCTAGATATGGTCTGCGAACACAAATTATCAGGTAAGAGCCTCTATTGACTAGGGAGAAGGTGTGAGGCACTCCCTGAATCTCGTTGTTTTATCACGGTCTCTTACCTAATTTTAACTTGGGTTAACTAATTTGAATATCTAGTGATTTTATGCATTTATGCTTTTCTCCGTTTTTAGTTTGCTTGATCAGTGTATTTATGGAAGTTATCTTGAACAAGTCACGCGTACGTGTACTTATTTTGTTAGTGTGTCAAAAATCATGCCACATGTATATAATTAAAGACATATTTATTATTATTTTAAGGATTTTGTGAAGCCACGAGAACGAGTGCTTTGCTTTTAATTTATGGATCACAACTATATTACGTGAACGTATATATAGTCATGTTATTTGGAACGCGCTTAAAAGCAACTAGCATTTTGAATTATTTGTTTTTCTTACCCTTACAATGAGTAAAAATTAAATTTATACGTGGTTTAAAGGTACATGATTTAATTTAACATGAAAACTCTATGAATAGAAAATAATTAAAAAAAAGAGAAACAAAACGATCAAACCAAACGTGATAGACAATTAAGCCTGGCTTTTGGATGAACACTGAAAATTGACCCTGGTCGAATCCTCGAGACGGGCTCGGTTGCAACTAGGTAAATAAACAACTGAAGAATGCTATGAACAGTAGCTAGAGAAATAAACTTTTATTGCTTTGATATATGTGCTAACAGTGGTATTAAAATGAAAAGGTCCTCCCCTTTATATGTTAGGGGAGTTTCAATCCTAGTACAAGTCTAAATAAGGTAAAAATCTTCTTCTTCCAGTAAACGTTGATTTATAGTTGATAGCGGGCGAGATTCACACCGTAACATCCGGTTGAGATCGGATATTACGGCTCCCCACTTATCGTGTCTAACCGTTTTTTCGCTAGGATCAGTTCTTCGCTCTACTCGGACCCGATGCTCAGTCGTATCCTGTCCCGGGTGCATCAGCCATCTTCCCTGGGCTCTGAGACACGGAACTCCTCGGCTCTGCTCGAGGTCATGTCAGATCGTGCTTCCCCCTTGTTTATTTACTGGGAAATCGGGGGTAACTTTATTCCCGATTTACCCGTACACAGATAGTCCCCCCACTTTTCGGAGAGTAGATTCACCGAAACGACGAGAAGTGATTAACTGACCCCGCGGGTCGACGAGTCAGTCAAATGTCAGTCGTGTCTTTCTGACTTTGGACATGTGTCAGCCGCCGGTTGACCATCCTCGAATGCGAAACGTCACGTATTAATTACCTTTCTCCTATAAAAGCTTCGGTTCCTTTTTTTCACATTTTTACTTTCCGATTCATACTTTCTTAAGCTACCCCCGAACTTTTTGCTTGCTCATAATTCCTTCAAATCTTCATACATCGTTCTTCACATCTTCATTTCTTCGTCTCCCATCTTTAAATCATTATATTTCATCTTTGAATCTTCAAGTTTGACCTTAAAATCTTCATACCCATCTTTAAACCTTCATATCTGCCTTCAAACCTTTATATTCCCAGATATCAATGGAGAAAACTTCAAAGTTCGTGCCTCAAATTACTACTCCTTCGACTTCCACTATGACCGCTGACATCGAAGCGACCTTGCCGGCAGCGGCCCCTGAATCTCCCCTTAAGGACTTTATTCCCGGAGGTTGTTCTATATACAACGATTTTAAGGTTGTTCTATCATCGAAGACACGCTCCCGATAGACCGGGAGGACTACAAGTGGGGAGGCAAGGAACTTGTCATCCTCGGTCATAATGAGGACATTACAACTCACATGGAGGGGTACTTAAGCGTTTACACATACCCCTTCACGCTTGGCCCGGTGGACCCGCTTGTCCTCGACTTTTGCAAAAGGTATGAGGTCTGCCTTGGGCAGATCCATCCGTCTTTCTGGAGGATTGTGATTCTCCTTCGTCATTTTATTAATAACACAGAGGATCCCCGGTTCACTATCGACCACCTTCTCCGCATTTACGTCCCCCGAATCACTCGAGGGGGGTTAATCAAGCTTGACCAATGGGCAATGGGGGCTCCCTTCTCGAGCATCGACGAAGACACAGACCGAGGCTAGTAGGGTAAATTTGTTCGGGTAAAGACCGCAGAACTCATTCCCTCCGATTTCCTGCCGTTCCCCGTGAAGTGGAACTCAAAACGTAAGTTCATCTCCTCTTAAGTAGTTAAAACAATTTTTCGATTTTGGTCTCCTTTCTCTTCGACCAAGATTTCCCGTTGTGCAGCGTTAGCCCAAGTTCCTAATGCAGTCCCCCATTCAAGGAGTGGTTCAAGAGGATCTGCAAACAATTAACATATTCCAAGCGCGAGTGGCGCAAACTTTCAAAAGGCAAATGGGAGGCCCGTTGCCATGGTGAGTGTCCTTTATCCCCCTATTTAACTTCCTTTTCATTCTACTATCGTTTGACTAAGTCCCCTTCTTCCTTTGACAGGTTTGACCAACACGACCAAACTTCAGGCGGTGGACGAGGAAGAGGCTTCGTCTGCATCTGCAAAACCCTCCGCTTCAGGACAACCTTTCGCTGACGCCGTATGAATAAAGAGGAGAAAAAATATGGAAGAAGGGACCTTCTGGCTCCTCGTATGCTCCATTCGAGGCCAAGAGGGTCATTGTTAGGGTCTGAAAGAGTACCAAGAATAGTACTCGGGCCAGGGTACCTATAACGACCCGGTCGGTCATTTTGAGAGATATAACCCTGTTTCCTCATTTACTTCTCATTTTATGCTTTATAGCTGCTATGTGACTTGCTGGACTAGTTGGTTTGGGTCCGGAGAGGTTTCGGAGTGAGTTCAGACACTTAGTCTCAAGATTGAAAGCTTAAGTTGAAAAGGTTGACGATGTTGACTTACGTGTACACGACTCCGGAATAGAGTTTTGATGGTTCTGTTAGCTCTGTTGGGTGATTTTGGACTTAGGATCCATGTTCGGATAGTGATTTGGAGGTCCGTAGTTGAATTAGGCTTGAAATGACGAAAGTTGAAAATTTAGAAGTTTGACCGAGAGGGACTTTGTCGATACGAGGCTCCGAATGGGGTACTGGGAGTTGTAGTAGGTCCGTGGTATCAATTGTGACTTGTGTGCAAAATTTGAGGTCAATCGGACATGATTTGATAGGTTTCGGCATCGTTTGTAGAAGTTATTCCTTAGTCTTCATTAGGCTTGAACTGGGGTGTGATTTGTGTTTTTGATGTTGTTTGATGTGATTTGAGGGCTCGACTAAGTTTGTATCGTATTTTAGGACTTGTTGGTGTGTTTGATTGAGGTCCTGGGGGCCTCGAATTTATTTCGGATGTCTAACAAATCGAAAATGAGACTTAGAGCATTGCTGAAGCTGGGAGTCTTCTGGTGTAATCGCACCTGTGGAGCTTTGGTCACAGGTATGAGCTGGGGAGCGCTGATGCGACCAGGAGTGAGGAAGATTGTGGTCACAGGTGCGAAGGATTTCCGCACCTACGTGGTCGCATATGCAAAGAGGTTGAGCGCAGAAGCGGAGGCCAGCGCAGGAGCGGGAAAGAGGGTCGCACCTGCATTTGCGCAGGAGCAGAGCATTGCCCGCAGATGCGAAGACCTAGTTCCAGTGGTTCACCTCAGAAGCGGACAGATTGTCGCTTTTGTGATGCCGCAGATACGGTGAAGTTTCCGCAGGAGCAAAAAGGCTAGACAGAACCTTAAATTCGTGAGTTCCGTGATATTCTTCATTTTATTTAGCTGAATCCACTAGGCATTGTGCCTAGGGCTGATTTCATATATGTAACATAAAGTACAACAATGGAGGGGGGACGTAAACCTGACCTCCAGAAATAAAGTGGAAGGGCATTTGTTTGTCCAACATTGACAATCAAATGACACCTGTATGCTATGGAGGGTTAGACCTATCATGAGATTCCAATTATCTAACCCTAAATGGTAGATAATCAGATATACAAAAACAAGCTGAAGATAACCTAGGTCAACTATACAAGATAGCACAAGTAAACCTAAATCTATCCAAAAAATTGAGTTGGAAGAGCATATTCCATATACAAGCAGTTCTACAACTATTGAAAGTGTAGACTTTCCTAAGAAAGTTTGACAAAACCATGTGAAAGTAGTGGCTATCTTCAGTCTAGATTTGACATTGAGTACAAAGAGAGCTAGATTGAAGATAGTAAGCAGAGAGATCCAGTCGATTGGGCTAAGGGGCTGCATTGTCCTGTTGCTGACAGAAGAGAGTGAGCACAGTCTTCCTTTGCTTCCCAAAGCCAGGCTATGTCCTTCTCTTGGGGCCTGGGTGTTGAATGGTGGCTTGACATAGGTGGGATATTGTTGCTGAGATGTAGCCTGAACCTTTGCCTGCTTGGAGATTGCAGGCTGCTGGAAAACCTTCAGTTTCAGAGAGGGAGAAAGTTGCATTCTACTGAAGAATGGAGGCCTCTTGAAGGGTGGAGTGACTTGGGTCAACTGAAGCATTTCCAGCAGAGTGAGCATCTGAGATGCTAATACCACTGATTGGGAATGCATCAGTTGTCCAAGTCTGCACCCTGTACCTGCAAAGATTAGCAAACCTGTTAGAAAAGGGGGGCTCATAATCCAGGTTCTTGTGGTTTCTGGATATGAGTTTGGGGGCAGGGGGTAGTTATGACCCCTAGTTCATGAAGAAATACTGATTGTAGGTTCTTGTGTAGACTACAATCAGTTCAATTGTTGTTTCTGTGGTTGGAGAGGTGTGCAGAAA